AAGGCCTCTGACACCACAGCAGCTAAAGCTAAATACACATACTGGTACTAGGCGAAATCATAAATTCAATCTGCATCCACAAAATCTGTTGACTATCAGATCTAATTAAATTGGAATGTGATAAAGTGAATCATAAATTTGCACACATGAAGACTATGCTTAATTATGTACATAATTAATTGGCTTTGTAAGTGGAAGTACCTGCTTCTCTCCTCCAAAACTGTTTTAGTGGCAGTGTCCAAAAATCCAAGAAGAAAAAACCCCAACAAAACCAAAACATAAAAAAAAACCCCAAAACAACAACAAAAAAAACAAACCCAACCAAACCCTACCACCTCACAAGACTGGGTTTCAAATTATATCTCATTAAAAAAAAAAGGTGGAGTGTAAATAGCCAATAAGGTGCTTGATAGTTACCTATGAACACTCCTGACTACCTATTTCCCTATAAAACAGTAAAGTCCATTGCCATTAACTGTTTACATCAGAAAAAGAAAAATAAATTCATCTTTTATGAATACTCGTAAGTGAAGACAGCAAGGAGGATATTTTGGGAAAATCCACCAACAGCAGTTAAGTTACTTATCTTCATCTGCTGCTATATTCACACTTATGTGGCTCTGGATACTCAGCATGTGCATGTATCCTGACCCCAGGCCTTAAATTTAACACTGGCCTGCACTGTCGGCATTCTGTCATCTTTTTGTAAGCCCTATTTCTCATCCTGTATTTGGTGGACTTTTAAAGAATGTTTACTGTTTTGTGTTACAATACAAAACTTCAATAACTATTTAACTGTCATTTCCTTTTTCTTGCCTACTTTCAACAAGCATGTGCCTCTATAAAGAGACAGAAGAGAATACAATTTACTTAGACTTAAAAAAATTGTAGTATGTCAAGTCACAATTGGAACTGAGCATATTTATAGGGAACAAAACACTACTTTTTGTGCTCAGTGAATAACACTACTTTTTACCACTCTTTACAGTTTAATTATCTCCCATGATAACTTCACCTATAGCTTGAAATTTAAAATGCAGGCTGTGAATTTTTCCACAAAGCCTAAACCAAATTAGGTACAATAGATCTAAAAACTAAATAAGGTTTGCTTTATTTCCTATGCACTTAAATTGAAAAAGGCAAATAAGGCCTCAAGGAGATCATCTTAACAGATAATTATTCAAATATAAGAAGACTAAACCACTCAATATTATATCAAGGTCTTGGCACTATCATTTTAAACAAATGAAGCCTAACAAAAGAAACATTCAAGTTTGAAGGATCAAAGCATATTCTCTTTCAAAGTTATGTGGAGGAAGAAAATCTTGACAGGATCTTACTATTTTTGTAAAGCAAATAACCTGCATTGTTCTATAAAATATATACAAGCACATTTTTGTTTGTTATTGTTGTTTTGCTATTATTTTTGTTACAGTATTTCACAAACCATTTTCAACAATAATGAAGTCATTTACCAGAATCTATAACTACACTTACTTAAAAGTTTGCTCTCATCTAATCAGAGCCTACATCAATCTAAATACAAAATGACTGCTAACAAAATAATTAAAGAGAGTACTTATTCTGTCTGACAAAAAAACTTAGTCCCTCATTATCCGTATTGAGTCCTGAATGAAGGCCAGAACAAAGTTTTTAAAGGAAACACATGAAAAGAAAACAGGCAATGCGACACCTTCCTTTGGAAACTGAGGTAACAGAATAAAACAAAAGATAATACCATGACACAGTGAGGTATGCAAATAGTAGTCTAACATATTACGTGAAAAGATGCAAACCATGTGCCAAGTCAGCCTTATGTATAGACTACATCAACCTGTAAGGCATGTTAATGGTTCTCAAGGTTTACCTACATTCAAACTTTTAGTAGAAGCACTTTGTTCTCCTCTGTAGGTCAGGTTAGCATCAGTCATTTATAGATGTCAAAATACAATCTCCTCACCACAGAGCCTTCCATTTTTCCAGGCTTAGTTAGATACTCCAACAAAATTTTATATTAAAGAGGTGGAAACAAAGAATCTTTTTCAATGTGGAAATTCTGATTCCTGGACCCTGTGTCCATCAGTCTGTTTTATCAGTGATCATTTTCATGCACTGGCTTTATCTCTCTTCCATTTGATCACAGACCTTCTAGCTCTACCTCTAGGATTCCCAGCTATCCACATTTTCCTGATGTGTTCAGAAACTGGCTCTTCTGCTGGAACAGTACCTTAGAGGGAGAGTTCAAGCAAGCATACACATGTGTGCATGCACTGGAGAAGTAACATTCTCAAAACATTCAGTGCAGGTCTTGAGATAATGTTAAGCATTAACGTCAAGAGTTAATTAAGCTCATACAGTATTTCCGCCCTCCTCATATAAAAACTTCCAGCTCTGGTTCCTTTGGTTACAGAATTCTCAACATTAGCTATATTATGCTTTTTATTCTACCATTATGCTTTTAGACAATGATACCTAGGGACAGAAAGTTATCACCAATTATTACAGGAGTATCATAGAATGGTTTGAGTTGGAAGGGACCTTTAAAGGTCATCTAGTCCAGCCCTTCTGCAATGAGCAGGGACATATTCAGTTAGATCAGGTTGCTCAGAGCCCTGTCCAGCCTCACCTTGAATGTTTCCAGGGATGATGCATCTACCAGCAATCCAGGCAACATGTTACAGTGCTTTACACCGTCTTTATAAAAAATTTCTTCCATTTATCTAGTCTGAATCTATCCTCTTTTAGTTTAAAACCATTACCCCTCGTCCCATTCTTACAGGCCCTACTAAAAGGCTGTCCCTGTCTTTCTTATAAGCCCCCTTTAAGCATTGAAACGTCTCAGTAATGTCTGCCTGAAACCTTCTCTTCTCCAGGATGAACAATCCCAACTCTCTCAGCCTGTGTTCACAGGAGAGATGCTCCAGACCTCTGATCATTTTCATGGCCTCCTCTGGACCTGCTCCAACAGGTCCATGTCTTTCTTGTGCTGAGGGCTTCAGAGATGGATGCAGTACTCCAGGTGGGTCACATCAGAGCAGAGGGGCAGAATCAGCTCCCTTGATATCCTGCCCACACATCTTTTGATGCAGCCCAGGATACAGTTGGCTTTCTGGGGTGCAAGTGCACATTGCTGAACCACATCCAGTTTTCCATCCATCAGTACCCCCAATCCTTCTCTGCAGGGTTGTTCTCAATCCCTTCATCCCTCAGCCTGTATAGATACTGGGGGATATCCCAACTCAGGTGCAGGACAATATGCTTGGCCTTGTTGAACCTCATGAGGTTCACATGGCCCAGTTCTTTAGCTTGTCCAGTCCCTCTGGATAGCATCCTGTCCCTCAGGAGTGTCAACTGCACCACTCAGCTTAGTGTTGTCTGTAAATTTGCTGAAGGCGCACTCAATCCTACTGCCTATGTCACTGATGAAGATATTAAACAGTACTGGTCCCAATATAGACCCCTGAATGACAGCACTCATCTGGACATTGAGCCATTGACCACTACTCTCTGGATGTGACCATCCAGCCAATTCCTTATCCATCAAATAGTCCATCCATCAAATCCATATCTCTTGAATTTTTAAATAAAGATGTTGTGGGGGACCATGTCAAAGGCACGCATTGATGACTCAATTCTGGGTTTGCTTAGATACATCATGTATGGGTCAGTATACAGTGCACAATTACACTTAAAAAAATTCTTGGAAAAGGAAGCTTGTAAGCATCAGAAATGCAAAGTTATCTTTTAAAAAAAGTAATGACAGTAAATAAGATACACCTCTGAAAATAAAACTTCACAAATAAATTATGAACTGACTGTAAAAGCTAGTGTCTTGATTCAAACCAACAACATGCATGGAGTCCTCCTGATCAAGACCAAGCCTACACTTCAAAATTTTACACTTCACCTAAGTTTGGATTTACTCACATTGTTTATAACAACTAAATTAATTTTTTTTCTGACAGCAGAAAAAAACTCTGGTTTAAGGATGAAAATAAATATGCACTATAAATTGGTTTTGTTCCAAGGTTGCTATAATGCTCTGGTTTTACTATTGAAGTATTCACTAAAGTAATGTTTTTAATTAAATTACTAGTAACACAGTATAAATGAGCCTGCACACAGATGAAAAGCAGAATGACAGAAGACTGAGATCTTCCTGTCTTCCAAAGACTCTAGAATAAGCTCATGATAAAAGCATGTTTCTCTATTCCTAAAAGCATTCTGCTCAAAATCAGTCTTCAAGAAACTATAAAATACTAAACTGCAAGTACCTGAGCTGAGACTAAAAAACAGCTCTTGGCTGGGGACAGTGAAGGCCATTCCTACCAGAACACTTAACACCACTCAGTAAAATCTGATTAGTATTTCCCCTTCATGACAAACATGGACAGTATGGATGCAAGCCTAGCACACAACATGCCAGAGTAAGAATTACACGTCAAGAGAGGTAGAAAACAATGTTTATGCGGTATTCCATATATAACGTCATTAAGTTTAATCAGAACCAAAGCTTTTCTTACTCCATTTTGTAATACAGAAAAAGGGTTGAGAAGAAAACTCAAAGTTCTTTGTACATTCAATTTAAGCAAAAGGGAGTAACTGCACAGGACTTGGGACTGCTTTAGGAACTTTCATTTTGACAGATAAAAGCAACCATACCAGTGCTGTCTCAGACTCTTGTATAATTCCTCTTTGCCCAGGTCATGGTATGTCTCAGATGATACAGTTGAAAAATAACTTCTATATGTACTGCCTGTGTTGCAAACTCATGTGTTACTCAGCCATTGTATGGGTTGAAACACAGTCTATTACATTTGCCTTTTTTGACAGCAAGGAAAATAAAAATACTTTTCTTGGTTATCACTAGCACATTACCTAATTAGAGCTTATAATGACTAGCTGGCAAAATACATCTGAATGTGACACAGGAATTATAATTAGTAGAATTTTAAAGATCTTCCTCCCTTCGATGAACAAAAATGCAACCAGCAACATACCTCTTTTTTCTCTGTGAACTTCTTCCAGAAGTTTTTCTTGCTTTTTTATCTGTTTAAAGAGAGACTGATGCTCAGCCTCCTTCATCTGTGTAAAGTGCTTAAGCTGTTCTCGGCTCTGCAGTAAGTAGCATCGCAGCTTTTTTTCCTTACTATCTCTCTCCTTTACTTCCTCGCACAGCCACTGTAGCTTGGTCTATGTTAAAAAAATGGCACAACAAAAAATAAGGAATTCTAATGAAAATAAGAGGACATAAATGATAACTGATCAAATTATCTTTGAAGTCACATATTACTCATTTGTACCTATCAGTGAATAATAAAAGCAGACATTCAGATATATTAAGAGGACATACATTGACCTTCAAAGATGTCTCAAGAGACAGAAATATTTTAGCTGATAATTGTGTGTGAAGTAGCAATACACAGATTTTTTAATTTATTTTTAATTCAGGAGCATGAGTTTGCTGGGGTAGGTATGGAAATTCAAACTGAACTAGTGTATACACAGACACCAAGAGATACTCCTTCCTTTCAGCGTATCTTTCTCTCTCTATTCTGTGTTAACAGATTTGAAAGCATTTAATCATTCTAAAAAAGTGACATCAATCCTTTCTGATCAGCAAAAGTTAATGTTTAAGGTTCATGCAGAGGAAAAACAAAAGTTCATAGATAACATTAGTCATGGTCAATACAGTAAATCTAGAAGTGCTGAAAAGGAATACTTTTACATTGCCTGTTTAAAACAAAAGAAAAAACAGCAGAGAATTTTAAGTAGTCATTCATTCTAGACTTTCCTATAGTAGCTAAAGAAACTTAGGTGAGAACGTATGCAAATGGTTATTAGATGCTCTTTGAATGGTCTTTTTAATAACATGCCAGTATCACTTTTTTAAATGAAGACAGTACTTCCTGTGTAACATTTCTCCCTTGATTCCAATCTTGTGTCAGGTATCTGTACTGTTCATCTTTCTTGGTCTACAAGTCTTACATAGACTGTAAATCATCAATAACCTTAAATTATCTTACATGCAATCAACTGTATCTCTTCATTAAGTCAATGATGCTGTGGCTTTGACCTTTTTACATGGAGCAGGAAAAAAAATGCATGTCTTACACAGTTTCACATGATTTACTTTAATCATGAGAAACTCCTTTTAAAGGATATTGGATAAGAAATGTGTTTATGTGCATGAGTCAGAGGAGCCAGAGGAAAGGTGCAAAATGAAAGACAAGGGTTAAAAGTTATCAGTCATCACTTTGAAGATGGTTTCAAGGATGTCTGCACCTACATTGTAGGATTCAAAAACTTCAGACAAAGGGGGAAGGAAAATAGTTCATTTTCCAATAATCCAATCCAATATCACTATTTTAAATAATTTCTTGCCCTGTTATAACCTTGTAAGAGAAACTTAGTCCACTGAATAAGTTTTTCTTGTCTGAAAATAATGGAACCAGATCTGAAGGCTATCACTGCAGTTACTTCAATGCATTTTTTGTAAAAACAGCATTGTTATTTATTTTGCTATGGAGACAGCTACTTCTTGTTGATAGCAAAATTGGGAAAATTATTCCATCAGTTGAAATAACATTCTGGGAATATCAGAATTATTGCCAAAGGAATGCTTTTGTATTTTTCCTTTTCCCCTTTAAGTGTCTTTTCCAACAAACTTTCAGCTGAATGATTATAAATGTTGCATATTAGCTTATTCAGTAAAAGTTCAGAAGGTTTGACTATTACCTTTGTTTCTGCTAACCAGCGATGAGGATCATTCAGCACCATTGGTGTAAGTGATATTGCCTATGGAATAGTAGGGGAGAAAGAAATAGGCATAAAACCGGGAATTAGATACATAACGGAAAGTGTTTCTCACTTACTGGAAATTCATGAAATAAATATTCTTTGCTAAAAATCCAGCTTGGAAATAATATCTGTAAATGGTTTAACTGAATTATTTCACCATAAATTAGTCACATCTAAAACCAAAATTGTGCAAACTCACTGATATAAATTTTGTTTAAAAGGTGCAACTTAATTAAGTTGCAACTACAGTAAATTGGATTCTGAATCTGTATAGTTTTCTCCTAAGAATCACTAAAATTATGTGTTTCAAACATCCTCAGAACATACATCTGCATCGAGGTGCATATTGTTTGAAACTCTATGCCCTTTTTTGAAAAAATCAGTATTTCCAAATAATACAACCAGACTCTACTTTAAAATTACTATTTCTTAAGAAAACGCCAATTTCAATGTCATTCAACTGTTTTTTCCTCCATTCTGCAGAACAACAGTGGATGAACATAAACCAGAATTAGCAGAACCATTAGTCACTGAACTGTTATCAGTGTATCTACAAGTCTCATACACAGCTCTCTCAACAGAAATATATTTAAAATCAAGTAAACTATTAACCTCATGTCCAGCTCATCCTTTATCTCATATGGTCGTATCTCATAATTACTACATTGTGCCTTTCTCTAATTTAAAGGGGTTGGGGTGGGGGGCGGGGTGAGTTAGCTTGTTTGGTTTTAATTTACCACATTTTGCAATTCAGCATGTCTTTATGTACTTTTAGTCCTGGTCCAATAATTTCTGTAGCTAGCATATTTCTTTAAGAGGTAATTATATGGGCTTTATTAACTACACTGAGACCAAAGGCGCCTAAACAGCACCATCTAATCATGTACATACATATGTTTTACATGAAAAATATGACCACATAAGGACTCAGCTGAAAATAAATGCTTTAGTAGTCATGTTGACCATGACTTCACAAAACAAAGCATACCTGAGAGTTGTGACTTCCAATGGCAGCAAACATTATTCTGTGCAACCACGTTCAAGGGTGGCAGCACTCAGTTTATATTTTAAGCATAACTGCTGCACTTATTGCAAGCATAAGACTTCTTATAACAAAAGACTCGTTGGAAAAATAAATCAGAACAATATAGGTAGAATTCTTTGCTGAGAACACCAGTACATGGTGATTATAAAAAATCCAGTACATCTTTCATCAGGGAAGATTAAGCCTGGTGTTTAAGTTCTCTGAACATGTGTATTTGCCAGTTATAAATTCCTCATTGCTCACCTCAACTGCAGCAGCAACAACTTCTTGAAGTAAAGAACTTGGCTGAAACCTTTTAGAAACTTTGGAAATCCTTAAATACTGGGCAGAGGAACAATACAACAAAGAAAACTTCTTACCTTTTAAAAAAATAAATCAGACCAGGCACCACAAAACTGTGTAATGTTTGTTTTCACATTAGCTGTCTAGTCAAAAATTCAGAATCAAATCCGGTTTAAGTTTTCCAGTGATAAACAGTTAAAGGGGATAAATAAGGACAATTGTGAAAGCACATCAGCAAAAATTTATCCAGAAGAGAAAGTCTTCAGGATATGGAAAGTAAGTCTAAGAATGCGTGGTCTGATGATCAAGAATCTGGCAACTATAGCAGATCAAAGTCTTAATAAAAAAAAAAGTCTTATCTGTAAGGATACAGAGGAGGAAGCTTGTTTGTCAAATAGATTTTCTTAGAATTTTCATATGTTTGTGTGCTGCAATATCCCAACTCCATAGGTAAGTGGAGAAAAAGGCATAACTATACTATAAGGCTGAAACACAGTGACTTCTCTCCACATCTTCAAACACAACAGGTGAGGAGATAAAATAGAAAATAAAACAAAGAAAAAATATTAGTGGATTTTCAGTGTCAATGCTGAAAAATATCTATTTCAAGAGCAGCCCAGCCCAGTTAAGTGACCAGGAACTGTAGAGTAAAAAGCACGCTCTATTTAAATAGCAAGACAAAAAATGCATAATCTAAGCGTACTCTATAGTTACAGCTAAGGCTAAAAAGCCACCTGGTCAAGCACTCATGATTTAACTGACCATAATTCCAGTGAGTATTGAGACAAACTGAGTTGGACTGTGTTTTCTTCTCAGCTGTGTACAATGTCTATTTAATAGGATTAGCCATGCAGAATCATCTGGAGCAAGGAAGAGAGGATGCTGTCCCTGGGAAGCAAATGAGAATGCTCAGGAGAAAAAGCTAATGGGAGACAAGAGTTGCAGGAATAGCAGTACAAGAGTAGAAAAAAAAAAAAAAGTTACAGCAAGATACAAGTTCCCTGAAACTCTGAGTTTGAATTTTCAGGATACAAGGATCTGCTCCAGAAAAGAAGAGTTTATAAACTCTTTCCACTTCCAGCATTTACCTCTACTTAAAAAAATATTACAACCTTTATTTCATTTTTCCCCAAGTTTAGAAGACTTTTATGTCTTTCTTGAGGACTTCCTACATCTAAGGAGATGGCACAGGAAATCTTGCATCAAAATTCCAGCTGATATAAGGTCCTTCCACACAGGCAAACAACAGGAGAACTATTTGTCACAATAAAAATTGACAAAAGAAAGCAGTAACAATTAACACATGAGGAGATCTTCACAGTATTCCATTCTAATACCTAATAATATATATCTATACCAGCTAAATATCCATAATCCTACTGCCCATAACTTATCTACACAAGTTAAGTGATAGGTGACAACAATGTATACAAATTCTGCTACAAACATCCATTAAGAAAATAACAAAATCTGCAGCATACTTAAAAATTAGAATTACTTTGAATTTCTCCATAGAGTCCCGAGAAAAAATTTCACAAGCAGCATCAATTTCGCTTCCTATCACAGTGAGAATGGATTCCTGTTCCATTTCTAAGTGATGCAGTTGATCTTTAAACTGTAATCTGGCCTCATCCATCCTTCTCAAATTATCTTCTTCATTGCTTATCTGTTTCTCCTGGAGTGAAAGATGAAAAACAAAACAAAGAGAAATTTTGCATTACTAATATGACATACATCATTAGTAATATCTCTTTCAATTTTATAATCACACTATACTCACTCATGCACTGAATTCAGTTCCTTGACATGGAAAATTATACCTTCCAACAGTACTCCTAAATTTCTCTCTTGCTTCTCCTTATTCTCCCGTAAATCAGTTATGAAGAAACTGCTACCAAATCCAAACCCAACAGTCAAAACCAGACATTATGAACCTTTTCCAGAGTAGAGATAGAACCCACAACAAATACTCCCCTTATTATCTTTTCTGTGACCCAGTTACAGGCATCTACTCTTTCATCACAAAGAGATCCCTGAAGGAAACATGTATTGGCAGTCAGTGTGTTCACAAAGGAAAAGTGCTCAAAGAATACCTCATAGGACAGTGACTAGCACTGAGGAAAGCATTTTATGTCATCCAATGTCAGAAAGATCGTTAAATATGTCACATCTTTTTAAAATTCAGATTCTCTTCCTTTACATCTATGATAGATATAACTGAACCTGGAAGCAGTTTTCTTATACAATATATTGAATTATGCATTGTAATTAATATAACAAAACTATCTTGTTAGAAGTGAAATTGATTCACACTTTGCTGCTGAGATCAGGAGGATGCAATGCAGCAAAGGTAAACATTTTAACAGGCACATTTTAGTTGTTGCAAACGCACTGAAAATGGTGAGAAAAACAAGAATAATAATTTTGAAAATTTATTAATTATGGATCTTTGCAATGACATGGTACAACTGTTTTAATTGTATTTATTGATAATCTTCATTACACTACTCTCATGAGACACCACTTTGGAGCTAGGTAATTTCTAATATACAAGTTCTGTGAATGGGATACATATGGAACCATAGAATCATTTAGGTTGGAAAAGACCCTTGTGATCATCAAGTCCAACCATAAACCTAACACTGCTAAGTCCACCACTCAACCATGTCCTTAAGTGCCATGTTTACACATCTTTTAAATACCTCCAGGGATGGTGATTCAACCACTTCCCTGGGTAGCCTGTTCCAATGCTTGAGAACACTTTTGATGAAGAATTTTTTCCTAATACCCAATCTAAACTCCCTGGTGCAATTTGAGGCCATTTCCTCTTATCACTTAGTGATAAGCTAGTCTTATCACTTCCTACTTGAGAGAAAAACAAACAGAAAACTTTTCAGGAGGTTGTATACATATATATGTATAGGTGTTATATCTATTAGCAATATAGGTGTTTTTTAATATAGGTGACCTTCAAATGTGAAATAGCCATACCTGATAAGCACCTTGCTTTTTTCATTTAATTCATAGAAAAATACTTGAGTTAGTACCTATTTCAAACTGAAGGAATGACAAGAATTTTTAATATGCACAGGTTCCAATATTTCTGCACTACTCATATAGGAGTTGAAATATCAGCTCTGATCTAGGGCAGTATTCTGAAGGTAATAAGATTGCAACATATATGCTTCCAGTGCCAGTATTCTATGCTGTCTCATTATTCACTGAATGTAATCCATCACATGCTGAAGTTCACTCCCAAAGACCATGACTAAAAGAGTATATAACTCAGTATTTTCATCTGCTTGATTTTTCTATGTGCCACTATTCCCCAACTGTGGGTATGTATGCCAGGTTGAAAACCTTCTGAGTCACTGACAATGTAAAATTATCATTCAGCATTTGGGTTAGAAGATTAACAATGTCTAAATTAATGTCTAAATTGTGTTAGAAGACTAAAGGCGTCTAGATTAACAACGGCTAAAAGCAAAAGAATTTGTGCTTGTTAGGGAAGAAACAGATAAGAAGGGATTCCTTAAAATAACAAAGCAGAAACTTAAGGACTACACACACAGCCGGTAGTTATCGAAAGTGCTGAGAGGAACTAGTTTTTGAAATGAGCATGCGCTAGAGCAGCACATGGATTTGCTGTTATTTTTAGAATGTACAAGAATATATAAGGACTTGTTTTTCTAATAAAGTTCGGAGCTTAACTGTTAACCATATTGGTGTGTGTCTTGTCTCACAACCTCGTCCTGCAAAAAGGGTTCCCTACTACACTCAGCATTCTACTTTCAGAGGCTACAGGAGAAATTAAGTCACTACTCAGAAGTACATAGAACAAAGACAAGAATAAGAAAATTTTACCATTATTCTCTGCACCTTCACCTTTCATGAAAAAAAAAAAATCCAAGCTATGTATAATAATTATATTTCTTTGAATTAGTATTTGCAATAAGGGCAGATTGACATTAAAAGTATAAAAAAATGTGGAAGAGAAACAGATAATTCTTTTGTAACACAATAGGCTTCTGCAGTTGACAGCTAGTATGATGTTCTCAAGACGTAATATTATCATTTCCCCCATCCTAACACCCCTTCTGACAATCTACAAGAAAACCACAATAGTAAATATTCTCTTGAATTAACTGATTAACACAATCAAGTGGAACTCTCCATCTGCATTTACCTTCAAAGGTTGCAAACACAGGATCATGTGCTTAAAAGCTTCTCCATTCTGTCCCAGCTTAGTGATAAAAGATCACCTTGGTCTAAAAACTCTATCTTCCCAGTATTAGGTAAGATTGGAGCTAGTTACAAGTGACTGCAGAAGACTATGTACGCTCCCACAAGCACATTTCCTTAATAATAGATATTATAGCACTAAAATCCCAACCTAGGAAAAAAACACATTTTGAATTTTCATTTCAGGTACTTTTTCTTAGTCTGACAAGTTGAGCTTTTAAAGCACTTCCTGTTAGTTTAACAAGCTAAGATAAATACCATGTTTAAGATTTTTCTCATTCCATACTTTGAAAAAACCACGCAAAAAACCCAGCACAACATTCTTCTCTCGGGGGTAGGAGTCAAACATACTGACAATATATGCTGAAAATATAAGCAGTATAACAAAAGCAGCTAACAGCATTTCCAATAATCACTTTACCTTCCTATATTCAAAATAAGGCCATTTTAAGCTCAACACCTAAGTGACATGAACTTCATTTATAACAACAAAATACGAGTTGAAAATTAAATTGAAAAACCTGAAAAGCCACAAAGGATCTACAATATCTATGGGCCTCTTAGCAGATTTAAATAGCTTGAAACTATTGAGCTAATGAAAAATTATCTGCTGAGTATTCAGCAGTACATGTGAAATGAATGAATAAACCTCTTGTATCATGTTAATATAAATACCTGTATCAAAAATTTTCTTTCCATAAGGATAAGAAATTACTAAGTTGACACAGAAGAGCAAGAACCTTCCAGCTAGAAGCTAGAATATCCAATATTTTAAAATGAGGATATCATGAAAAATTTATAAGCCATTTCCAACAGGATGCATAATTTTTTTTTTCTTGAATTTTAATGTAGGAAATCAAGTTTGTCAAAGATTAGAAACAACATTTTCAATGTTAATATGAATTAAGTACTGACAGATATGTGCCTTACACTGGAGAAGACAAAACTTCACCGACATACAACAATACTTATCTGAAATCACAATGTTGCAGGAAGATAAATTTAAGATACCAAACCACCACAATGTAAAATACATTCATGTTGAGAAAAGCATATTAAAAAGCAATGCTGTAGAACCAATCATGGGAAAAGTAGAACTCAAGAAAGCAGAAAGAGAAGTTACAAAATAAAATTCTTCAACAATTCTGTATTTAACACTACATTTTTGAAAAGAAATGCTGACAACTTCAGGTTGTGAGACTGCAAATTAACATTTGATAGTAAATATTATTAACAGAACACCAGGCAATGAGAATGGCTGGCAGACAGCGTCCATCTCTAGAAAATGTGAATGTCTTTAAAAACTTGCCATATTTTAAACATTCAAGCAGAAAATAGTTTTCATGAAGTTATTTAGAATTTCTTTTACTGTGCTCACATTGCTTATCTACTTCAAATTAGCTCCAAATTATTCATAACTGCACTGCAACTTTAAGAAAATGTGATGAAAACTAGAAATGTTTGGTTAAACACTTGTTGGTTACCTATATTAGAAATAGGGCAGGCAACAGGATTTATAGTTCTGCTCCTAGGTAGTATTAGCAAATCTTTGGAGGCATACAACTAATGACTCAGCCAAAGCACTACTGCCTTCTTTGATTTATATAGAAACTGCATACTATAGTATGACTATGTACATTCCTTAATATGTGCATGTATTTTTGTATTTTAAGTTTACCATCTATTTCTATAATTCATTGTTTATTTTAGGTATTTATCAGCAAGAGACACTGACGCATCACGATTAAGACCATTTAAGTTTACCTTTTTCTCCAGTTCTTGTTTTACAAGCTCACATTTCCGCCTAAGTTTTATATTTTCTTCTTCATTTTGGGTTAATTCTTCTGTCAATTTATCACACTCAATTTTTATCTTCTCCAGTTGTCGACACTGAGTCTTGACTATGTTTTTCTCTTCTAAAAGTTCCATCTGATGGCAATGGGAAAATAGATTACAGTCACTATGAGTTATTTTAAAACATTCCCAGACTGTAGAGTTTCAAATCTGTGGAACAGTATTACAGAAAGATAACTATATTTAATATTTTACATTTGAGTTATACTAAGTGCAATCACTTATCTGAACATGGAAAACATGGATCACAGACATAGAACCATACAGTATTTTAAAAGCATCAAATATAAGTCTCAGATTCTGCATTTCAACTCTGCTACACTCATCAGCTTACATCATATTAAGAAGTATTTATGCAACTTTTCCATGACTGAAATAATTTGGAATCAGAAAGTCTATAACTACCATTTCACTTCAGGATCTAATATTAAATTTATATCGGCAAGGAAATAACTGCAAGGATTTGGTATTTTTAATTTCTATAACTGTGTGGTTTTAAATATATTCATAGAAACATTGCAGAGAAAAAAAAAATAATTTAAGGGCCTTGAAAGCCCTGAATAGGTGAGTGAATAAAGTATACCAGTTTCCAGTGGAAAAGATAACTGACTGAAACTGACAGATTTGAGAAATTCTCTAGAATATATAGAAAATGAAAAAAAATACAGAAAGGACACAATTTCACACTTATTACTCAAAACCAACTTCATATTAGATAAATTCTGGGATGCAGTTACACAGAAAATAAACCTGCAGAGTAAATTCCTTCCTGAGTAAAAGCAAAAATTCTATTATCCTAATTACATTATAAATATAATTTTTATGGGGAAGAAGGCTAAGGAGCGAAGTTTTACAAGTCAATTTAGACACTAGAGCTAACAAACACACTTCCAAAGAACAATTCCAAGAAACAACTTTGGTCTAAGCCCACAGATACTTATGGGCACAAGGACAAGCTTGCAATACCCAAAACATTTTCTATGAATAAAATCAACTATTCAGATCTATATTCTATAAAATGAGCTTTTCAGTTCCTGCTAAAGTTAACTGTATTATAATGTCTATGCAGATAGAGATAGTCCAAAAACCAAATTGCTCACTTATATTACCTTTAAGACACAATGGAGAAAGTTAATTTTTATTAATTTCTAGTATGGACAAGGCAGATGTGACCATAATTTAACTGATCTGGATTGAACCCATTTTCCACATCTGATAATCAGGAAAACAAGAACTCCCACTTGGTATATGTATAGCAAACAATTCAAGAAGAAATACGCATATATACACAATTTTACATGTATAGATAAATAACTATATAATCTTTCATTAAAGATTAATACTTGGAAGTTCTGTCAGGCACGAGGACATTTTGTACTTAATTATTCTAAGAGAACAAGGATATTTTTAAAGCAAATGAGAGCATGTAGTAAAATTAGGGGACGTATTCAGAGCTTCTGAACACATAGCCGATTAGGGACCGCTAAGTGAATCAATTAATTTCCTATGCCTAGTTTATCTATCATTTTAAGTAAGAAAACAAAACAAAACAAAAAAAAAAAAAAGGACAAAAGACAGAGACACTGGTTGGCAATCCTTTAGGATGTTCTAGCAGAAACAGAATTAAAAGCTTAAGCACCAGAATCTCAGTACTGAGACAGTAAGATCCTTTGCAACACTGACTTGCACAAAACTCTACACTCTTCAAGTACTAGAGGAGGAGTTCTACTGTAGTTCTACAATATTCCTATAGTACCTCCCCTACTATCTCAAAAAATCCTTATGCTTTTCCAACTCAGTGCAGCACTACAGAAAGCCAGACAAGAGTGAAGCAGAAAGTATCATACAGAGGCAAGAGAAGGAAGAACAATAAGGATCAAAAGTAACTTTTTACAATCTATAAAGCAGTTGGTTCTGCAAACACAGGGCTCCACTCCCTTAATTTCCCAAACATAATTCATCAGAATTCCTCTTCTAGTTAAGTTTAAGGCTCTGGGTCTTAAGAGAATGCGTTAAATTTCCATTTACTCCCTGAGTCTCTCCCAACTGACATTAAGACTTTAACATTAACAACCTTTGGACAGGGTTATGTATATTCTTTCTCAAAAGCAGTTACAAAGGTTGGACAAGGCTGAGGCATAAATAAAGTCAAGATTATTACTGTAACAGTAGAAGACAATTGGTTACTGGGCACAAAAACTTACCAGACAAAAAAGACAGTAGGTATAAAACCCCTTTCTGTTGGATATCCATAAATTCTATCCTAAAGCCACAATATTTAAATACAATTCGATAACATGCATGTGAATTTTACCTTAATTTGGAAGAAAAGTATGTTGATGAAAGTGAAACCCAATTGCAACGTAATGAGTTCAGATAAAAAGTAACCAAATCACCCGCACAATGACATGTTCTCATCAGATCTTCCTACAGATGGATATGATTATCTATTTTGTTGCACTTGCAGTCTTTGAATCAAGAGAATGTTGTGTATTAGCATTTTGTGTACTTCTAAAAAAAAGTTTCCTAACCTAATAACTTATAAAATTCATCTCCCTCAAGCCCTTTGCTCTTCTCTGAAACAGAGACACAAAGCTGTAAAAAAACCAGTCTAGATTAAGGATTCTGGAATAGTCATGGCTCTGTAAATAAAAGAAGGAAGTGAATTTTATAAATATTCTGTTTAGGTACAACAATCAGTACCAATATTGAGGCCCTTACTGTAAAATGGACCTTTCCATAGGAGAGGAACATAATCACAATCAACTCATTTTGTGCTTACTACCATCCAGAATACACTTTCCTCCTCATCTCTTGATATTAAGTGTACAGTCTTAATTTCAGTGTCACTGTCAAAGAGAAAACACATATTTGGACAGATCATTTAAATAATGTTAGACACATTACAAGTTAAGCCCCCAATATTTTCAATGATCCTTCCACTAACAACCATCTAGATTTCTTTTATTGCCATTTTCATTAAATGCTTTCTGTGTTTTCCAGTGCTTAAGAAATATCCTCAATTATTATGCCATGAATGATATATTAAATAACTAACTATTCTTTTCTAAGTAACATCAATTCATGACTGCAAGTGTGGAAAATATGCATTTTTAACTAGTTGCATATTTGTGAGAAAAGAGGAAATAAAGATGCTTACATTACTTCTGATGAAGTACATCATGAATTACTTGAGCTTTGATTATGGATTTTACAGCTTTTTATGGTTAAATTGGTAGAATTTTGACATGAGCAAATTTTTAATTTGATGGGACTGAAGTAGAACGCATATTTATAGTGCTTCAGAAGTGCACCCAAAATATGTTAGTAATTTACAGCCTATCTGGAAAACTACTGCCTCCATTAATAAAAATATTACTATTATTAGAACACACAAAATACTATCTTACATATATATTTAACCATGTAATCAAAATCACTCCAATGTTAGCACAATGTATACCTTATACAACTACTGACAGTTAATTGTACAGTTTAGACCACTTCAACTCAACTTTTCAAGCCATTAAAATGCTCATTTTCTTTCCAATGCAATAGCCTTGAATCAGGAGTAAATTATGTAAACAAAAGACATTAGCATTGTATTCATGAAGAAAGAAGTTATTTCATCATTTACTCTATGAACACAGTCACTTTTCTGGGAAATTGTACAGAAATTAGAAATTCTAAAAACTCCTTGAAATAGAAAGAACTATCAAAATGAACCTTAACAAGTGTTATACATTACCACTATTCACATTCTAAAAACATTTCCAGATACAATGCAGTATTTCTGTCATGCAATTTAACATCACGCAATTTAAACATTTACAAAAATGCATCATCCCTGAAATACTGCAAGTTCTTCAATAGGGCTGTGACAATAATTGTAAAAATAACAGCCAAAGAAGGAATCAAATCACATTAAAACACTACAGCCTGATAGATCTCCTCCTGTTCTGATCACAGATGTACCTATTTCACCACTTTTGAACTAAAAAGGCTTTCTTACCCCAAATTAAAACTGCCCATATATTATTACCTTCATCACACAATGGGGGAGGGGAGGCGTAAGGGAAGTCTGATACCGGAAATCTTCAGAATAAGTACCTTTAGCATTCTAATCTGAGCCTCTGCATCATCCTTTTCTTGTTTAAGTAGTTTCATCAGCTCTTGAACATTTCGTTCATGTTTGATTTTAACGTTTTGTAACTCTGATCTAAGATCTGCCAGCTCCTGTTGGTGAACTTCTCTTTCAATCTTCAGCTGCCTGTTAGCTGAAGTCATCTCTTCACGCTTAGATTCCTGCTCTTTCTGGAGATCTGAGAGGCTCTTATGTAATTCCTTTTTGACTTTCTCCTCTTCTGCTATTCTGTTTGTTAGTTCCACACGTACAGAGCTTAAGTTTTTTACATCTGCTTGCATTTCTAAGAGCCTTTCTTGGTCTTTTTTATGGATCAAGTTAATAGTTGCAAGTTCGGTCTCCAAGTGTTCTTTTTCAGCTTGCATTTGATTTTGTAGAAAGACTTGCTTTTTCAACTCATTCTCCAATTTATTTACAGTACCTTGAACTTCTTTGATTTCTTCTTCAAGAGATACCTGGTGAGACTTCATTTCATTCAGCTTTACCTCCTTGCAGTGGAGAAGTTCTTCCTGCTGGGCTCTCTTTGTAAGCACATCATTCAGCTCTTTCCGAAGGTTTTCTATTTGGTGTATAGCAGAGAGAAGTTGACTTCTGAGGTCATCCTTTTCTTTGAGAGCCTAGGGAAGAACAAAAAGAAATCCAGTGAGACCTAAAGTAATTTAAGAAAATTGTTGGAAGGATGTCCTTAGACATTCCTAGTGTCTAAGGAACAATTAGCACACTTCAGCCTGTGAATACTACATTTCATTAAACTCATGTTACACGCACCCTTCCTGATTCTTACTCATCTCAAGTTACCGTTTAAATTTAAAACGTTTGCTTTAAAACAAAAAGGCCCTTACAGCACACCTATAAGTCACAGACAACTTTTAATACAGGAAAAAAAAATGATGTATCACATAAAATATTGGTTTCTTTAAACTGGGCTTAAATAAATTTTACACTGAGTTTTACTGTTTCCACTAATTCCACAGCCTGTACACATTTCTTCTAGATATATACAAAATTACTTGAAACAATCAAAAACAAAAAGGCAATTAAGGTTGACAGTGTGAAGGTTAAAAGCAATTTAAAAAAAAAAAAATCATAATTACATCAAGAAAAAGCAGTGCAAAACAAAATACAAAAATAATAAATTAAGGATATGGGGTATCCAAATATATCAGTATTTCAGCCTCTCTAAAACTGTCTTGCCATTCTAGTTGCATGATTTGGAAAAAAAAAAAAAAAAAAAAATTAAAACACACCATAAGTAACTTGCTTTGAGTATAAGCATGTGTTCTACATCCCATACATAGAAGAAAATAAGTTTCAAGAGACAGAAGATGTTAGAGATTCCAACTGTCAACCGATATCAAGGATAACCACATAGGCAAGACTTTCACCAAGTCTAATATCCCAATAACTCCAAAAGAATTAAACCTAAACAGTCTTTCTATAGCTCACCCAATGTCTGCATATATTTGGAACATCTCAAAATTGCAAGCTATGATTATAATTCAATTTTGAAAATTTGCCATCAACTCTTTTAAGTCCTATAACAGAAAACAAAGACAACAGACTGCCATTTCTCCTTTTTCTTTATTATTTATTTTTATAGAGTTTTGTCTCAGATATTAATTATCTGTATATTTCAAAGACGGTTATGTTCACCTAGTTCACTTAAACTTATCACAAATGCTGTATCTAGATTGATTATATCCTCATATGGAAACTGTGTACGACTTTATACTGAGAATGTGAAATATTGTTTGCATTATTTTCTCCTCCACAACAACAGACAAGTTATTGGAGGATATGTGATATCAAATAAAGAGATTTTCTTCAGGAGTGACACTTAACTCGAATTTGTTGGCAAGACGCTGATGATTTTAAAAATAAGAACTAATACTGGCACCCTTTCTTAAATGGAACTTAAATCAAAATGACTAAATTTAGCATTTTTATACATTTATTACATAAAAAGAGGTAAAATCAAGTACTCTTATGTAACAAAGAAAACATCAATGTGGACAGCACTATCAATTGCCATTACAAAGACCTGTCCAGCATTTACATGAACAGTGATTTTAGAGCCTTCTGAGGCTCCTCCTGCTTGTTATTCACAACTCACTCTCTTTACTTTTTGCTTCTCATTTGTCTATTATGAGACACACGACTTCTAAATGATTCAGGTTTTCTTCCTTCCCTTAACGCCTCCACTTACCTAGGCAAAAGATGACCAACATCTTAAATGTTTGCAAAACTTATTTCCTCAGACAACTGCTAGGACTAACCAATACAAGATGGAATGAACTGTTGGAGCATAAATAGAGGAAATAATAATAAAAAATATTGAATATGCTAGGTAGGTCAGGAGAGAAACAGCAGTCCCACAAATCACAGCTTATATGTGCTAGAGTTTATTAATTTCAACTCGGTATTAGACCCATTGTGGCTTCTGTGCTCTGACCATGCTCATACATTCATGTACCAGTCTCAGAAGAGGTTACTGCATCAGGAATAACATGTAACCACTGTCCACTGCATGAGAGAATGCATAAGTTGAACATGGGTTATTACTTAACGTGTCCAAAATATTTTACAAATTTTTTTTTACATCATATTATTCCCTTAAAAATTAATGACAAATAAACTGAGTTGTGTTAACTGTTAACTGAAAAGATAAGTAAAAGCAACGTTCATAGAGAAACTTTATAAGAAGAAAGCTTTGATTAAGTGAAGAGTCTGGAATAAATGATAGATGAGGAAGAGAACACAGAATTCTAATAGCTAAGAAATATTGCCATCTATTAGCTGTATTATAGTTCACCAGATAATTTGGTTCAGCACTTAAGGCAGAATGTGGTTTAAGTCACAATTCACATAAACAAACTCCTTAATTTCCAAAACAAATGGAAAGAGTACAAAAAAAAAACCCACAGTCAATTTTACCTGACTGTTCTTGTCCATCAGTTGACTGATCGTTTCCTTTTGTTTTTCCACATCACGATCTAGTTTCTTACACTTCAGCTTCCACTGGCGGATGGCTTCCTGTGCTCTCACCTTCAGATCTTCTCTTTTTTTCTCAACCTCCAGCCTGAGTGCCTCTGAATGTTTGAATTCAGTGAGGTACCGTTCTGCTTCCTTAGTACTCTCTTCAACCTGTTGAGCTAACTCAGCAGACTGGAGTTCAGTTTGTCTACGTCCATTCTCACAAACCTTGTAGCAACTCTGTATCTCCTTTAGCTGGTTCAGCATTTTTTCCTGCTGCTTCTCCCTGTTTTCCAGGTCAGATGTTAACACCTGGAATCATCATAGAAAAATAAAAAAATTCCAATTCTAAATATATACAATATGAAGCCTTATAAAACAACATACAGCAATGTTAAATCACATTTCTGTCTAAAATATTAACAGCATAAAAGATCTCCTTGGCTATCAGGGAAGCCCTGTTAGCCCAAGAGAACCTCTGCAGCGGTAAAGAATTTCAGCACAAGATATAAAATACATGATTACTCTATCACGTATTTTACCTTCTACATTTATTCCTCTTCTGGTTGTTCTTATTTTTTATATTTTAAGTTTGAGGAGGAATCATTGACCAGGAGCCACATATGTTACCCACTAGACAAATATGGAATAAAGCAAATAGGAAGATGTAAGGAGGTAAATATAAACAGGTGAGAGGAAGAAGAAAATTGGCAAGGAAAGAACAGCATTCACCATAGCAAAAGTAATATATAGTATGAGCTAGTTGTTACCCAGTTTTATATGCTGGTTGCTTTCATGGAAGCAACATGCTGAATAAAGGTATTCTGAAAAGCACTGATGAATATAAAGAATACATCAGCTTGGTAGAGGTTTCTAAAAGAAAGTGCAAAGATGTTTGAAAATATTAGAGCCAACATTAGTTAGCATTTCAATACTGAATGAAACAAACTATAAAAATAGCAAGCACTGCCCATTCCAAATCTGATACTTCTCAGGCAGGACAGTCTCATAAGCAAGTCAGGAAAAACATTCTCTATCTACCTTCTGCAAGGGCATATCTGAAAATCAGGTATTGAACCTTCACTAGCAAAACTGATTTTTATTAAGATCACCATGCAGAATTTTACATTAGTATTCTGTATTTCAGGCCTATAAGACTTATTTCATACCACTCAGTATTTTTACTAATAACTACTTTAATAGGCTTGCTCTATAGCCAAAGATATTATCAGGCTTCAAGGAATGAAAATACTTTCGAGAAGATGATTAGATATCAAAACAACTGAAACAAATTGGAGGTGTAGTCTGAAATAAACACGGTGCAATTCAGAAGGGACAAGAGAAAAATACTTTGCCTAGGAAAGAATAAGTGACTTTACAGATGCACATAAAATGATTCTTTAGACAAAGGTCCTTCCACAAGGTTGCAGGGGGGTGGGAGTGGGGGGTGTAGCTTGGGTATGTTGTTCGCACTTTTCTTTGTGGGTTTGTTGGTTGTTTTTTTTCCCCCTGCAAACCTGACCATTACCTCCTGGGAGTCAATAAATTGTACCACACTTTTCAGGAAAGCAATTGTTGTCCTGGAAAGACAACTGCATGTGCACGCAGTAAGGAACTGAAGAAAGTAATATGTCCAACATTCACTGACACAGAAAGTCTCAAGGACAAGCTGTGGCCTTTGTGATTAGTCTAAAGACCACCACCCAAGGAAGCCCTGGTACCGAATGATGCCCATCCCCACTCCCTTATTATTCTATTGTCAAACTCCTTAGATAAGCCTCAAAGGGGGAAAACTTGGACTGAGCGAAACCAAATGTCTCTCATCCAGCACAAGGACCACTAATCTCTGGCTCCATTGTGAAGCCTGACACCATGAAGGCCTTGCTAATGGCTTCAGGACTTTGACATTGAAGAGGTGATAAGGCCTGATAGGAAATGAGCATTTCTGAGATGATTGATCAAGAAGCAGGAAGTCAACAGAAATCTGTGGGAACTGGGGTAGAAGTGACAGGCAGCAGGGTGAGCATAACTACCGACTCAATTGGACAAGGAGGTTGGTGCACCCCATTACCCTTCAATGCATCCGCAGAACCCATACACCACCTCTTTCCTCATCTCTCATGGAAATGTGCTCATGGAACATCTACCTCTCCTTCCCTAGTATGCTAATCAGCTGATGAGATGAACATAAAAGGTGACTTTGCTGTGTGTGCACCCACCACCCAAGATTACCACACCTGAGACAACACTGGATTCAGGGCTGGTGACCAGATTTCTTTGACTCTTTTTCTCCTTTCTTCTCCTTTTCTTTCCTTTCCTTCCTTTTCCAGGTTTAAGCTGTTTCTACCTCAAGTAAAACATTTTAACCAGTTGCTTGGTGTTGTTTTGATGTCTCTGGGAAAATTTCTACTCTGTTTATTCTAAACTTGTAATTAGAACAATGACAGGATAAGTCACTGATTTAAAAGGGTTGTGATCGAAAGAAAGAACCAGGAGATAAGGGAGCCAGTTACTCCAACTTTGTATAAATAATGCACGTCTGGTGAACCTTAGAAAGACTGATAGGAGTCATTCTGCTCCAGGAGGCACCACAAGATGGATGGCTGTCTGAGAAGAAAATTGACAGTATCTGGGGAAAAGATAAGGACAGCAAGGGGTGGGGAGACCATGACCACCAACTCAATTTAAGATCAAGAAGATGTGTCCCTCCTCCTTGAGTTTGCGCAGAATAATTAGAAGACTGCAACTTTAAATTGAGACAAGGCATGTTGTAACCAATAAGGGCAAAGTGTTAAGAAACTAACCAATGGCCATTACAGTAAATGTGTATTCTTGTAGTCTGAAGTGTATAAACACAGTGAAGTTCTTTTGTGCAGTGTGCCAGCTTTGTGGAATTACCACCTAGCACCCCACTCTGTGCAGACATGGAATAAATAAGTACCTCTGCTTTGTGTGTATATTGGTGTATTGCACAACAGGTAAATTACTCCACTTGAGGGACAATAATTTCACCTTAATTTAACCCGAGGTGATCACAGAAACTTTACGACTGTGGGCTCCCAAGTCCAGGTTGTAACACATGTGACTAACCATGGTACTGACAGAAAATACAGACAGGAACAGACTGATGCTACAGACAAGAACAATCAGTCCAGATTGCTACATGTACCCATGATGCAAAACAGAAGGATTATCCACTGGACAATCAGTTGTTCACCTGTAGGATGAATATTCCTGCTCTAGGCACAACTGAGATATAGATAATAAAACAACAGGTAAACACATTATGGAATAGTTCAGAGTAAATCTTACACAGGTGGCAAAAAGAACACAGGAAAGTCTTTCTAGATTTACAGTTCTATACATTAGAAAAAAACCCACATATATTCTGCTTCACTATTATTTAAACATGCATTTTCAAGCTCATCAGGCAAAACAACCAGGACTAACCTTGTAAAAAGTCTTGATTCATAAGACAAAACCAACTAAAACAACCTCACAAGCTGCAACTAGCAAAATTTTATCAAAATTAGCTCAAATTCAAATGAAAACATATTATATTACTTCTTTAAAGGGAAAGATTTAAATTCTGAATGTAATAGAAGTCAAAAATAGCCTGATAAAATACAGTGAGATATTTACCCTTCCACAGATTTTCTAAAGTGGGTCATCATTTCTTCAGAGTCATATGATTATACATGCTATTTTCACTTCCCATTTCATGTCTTTATGGAGACACCATAGAGGATATCTAAATTGATGTACTAATCAACTCTCCATCATTTAAAACACTTTATTTATCATTCCCCCAGAGAACACACTTCATTAATACAATTCCCACAGATGTTTTAATGAAAAAGGAGTCTAAGCTTAAACACAGAAAACAATGTTCAATTAATGGTAAACATTAATTTCACTTTATAAAAGCAAATCTTAATCTCCAATTTACTGGCTTACAGTAAAAAGAAAAAAATGAATATTTTAGATATTCATCTTGAAGCATAACTAATTTATCAACACAAGCTATTAGCATGAGAAGGAAAGATGAACTTTGACATGGATGTACCAATATAAATGTGATTTTTTTTTTTATTTTTACAATTTGTGAAAATCAGAGATCTTTGCAAATAGCTTGCACTTTGCTTAGAAAAGTTACGCAAGCACAGACCGAAACCAATTGAAGTCAGTTGGAAAACAGCAGCATAGCATATCAACATTTCATGCAGCTTTCCCTGTAAAGCAAGGGAATAGAGAAACAGTGGATCTCCACACTCTGTTTTTATATCATAACAACAGGGGGCCCAAGTGTACTGACCTATACTTTTGAATTCCTATTTGACGTAGGAGAAACATATGTGTATCTCTATGTTAACATGTATGCAATTGTCAAAATTCTGTCTGCTCTGTAAGGGCTTGCTCTACATGTATTTAAAACATTAAATAAGCAACTTCTCAGAATTGGGCTGTCAAAAATAATAAATTAAAAAATCTGTTAGGAAATCATATTTATCATCTACACATCATCTAGAGAGAGATTTCCCCAAAAGAAGAAAGTCTCTTTCTAGGTATGTCATATACATACATTTACAGGGGGGGAACAGACATACACAAGCACTATTTGCTAGACATTTTTTTTGCTTCAGTATCATGAAGATCACACCTCAAACCTCCTTGTTCATGTACAAAGCTTAAGTATCTATAAAAGGCAAAGATTATGGTCTTGCCTTTTGGTTCCTTGGAAAATCCCAACATACAACCCTAATTTCTAGGCATTCAATGAAAAGAGGACACTGGCTGACTGTTTACAATTTTTAAAATAACATTTCTAATAGAACAGTTACAAGCAAGTAATCTCTTTGCCATTTGCCATTACTTGCCTGCACACATGCCAACTCCCCTGTGGTTGATTTGAAGCAACCCTTTATAACAATGAACATCTAGAGGTCATCAGAACCATCTTAAAGGACAGTTTTCATGTAATGATTGGAAACAATCAACAGGGTCAACAGACCATATTTTGCTAAATATGATACTGTCTTCAGACAAACATGGCTCAGAAAACAACTGATTACTAGTTTTTGTGGAACTGTTCTGTTAGCAAACAGTTAATACAAGACATAAGTCTCCATTAAGCAAGTTACACTACTATATATTTTTAACACCTAATTTTGATCTTATGAGAATTAAGACTGTTTTGATAGTAAAAAATAATTATACAGATATACTGATGTCATTGGAAGAACATTTTATTTGGCAGTGGTGGTCTGTGAAAGTATGACCCTGTGGTTTCATTTCATAACGGTGATCTTATA